GGCCTCTCGGAAGTTTTCAAAGTAATGAATGCCTTTACAATAAAAGTGAGGTATAGTAATCAATAGTTAGAAATATAAAAAGGCTGAAAATCATAATTTTTGGTTATTCAAACTCCTGTAGCAGGTGACCTATTGTCTCAGAACAAAAGTGATCATTAACCTTTTCTTCAGATACTAATTTATGCGATCGCTGAACCTTGACATAAAATATTATCAACATTGCATAATTAGATTACCAACACATAAGTTGTATGACAGGGTTGCCCTCGATTTATCAACACTAACGTTGCATAATTAGATTGCCCACAATTTTATGATAATGAATTACCTCCTACCCGTTTTGACCACCCCTCCCCTATCACTTTTGACTTCATTAGCATACCCACCTACTAAAATAATTTATACCACCTACTGGACGGGGCATAAATTACCAATGCGGGGAACCTCATTAGCATACCTCCTACCTCCTACCTCCTACTTTCGGGGGTCGAGCGGTCCTTTGCTTACTACTTGCCATGCGCAAACAAACTCTCTAGTTGTGCCTGGATACACACATGATAAGGGACTGCACAATATTTATCAGGAGGGGGAAGGGGTTGAGAAAAGAGCCAAAACAATCAAAAAACTTAATTACTACCCCCTCGCAAACGAAATAAATTACGCTCCCCCCTCCATCCATTGCTTTACAATTTTCAATGCTGGATGAAGGTAAATTTGCCATAAAATATTAGAAACGAAAAAAGAAAAAAATGAGCTTCTATAAAGGAAGCCCGAGGCTGAACATCAACCATTGCGTTGCCTATGAACATGCAGGCGCGCGTCATTTACGCATATACGCACGTGCGTACTAGTGGCAAGGAAATATTAAAATTTTCGTAAAAATTATTGATAAAATTCACTTAAAATTGAGCCCTTTTATATGCATTTCCAAGAGTTATTATTTCAAAATTTCCTTGGGTAGGTCCAGACTCCCTTAATACTCTTAATATACAAGCGGCGATTCCCAGGGGCCAAGGAACCTATTGTGATGGTTGATCATTCCTCCCGTGGGGCCTGACGCGGGGCGCTCTAGCTTGACATATCCAACTGAAAGATTTGGAAAAGGGATTATTTATCCACGACATGGAGCGGTCCTTAGAGCTTTAATTTAGCTGTAACCAAAGACACTTTTCTGTATCTGTTGACTCTCGGACGTTTTCTTCGATAAAATGTTTTTATTATCAAAACCAGAAGTACATAACCTTCTGTCAAAACTGTATTTTTACATCTATGTTTTAAAATTACTATCATTCGGCTGATTATATTTTTGCAATAAAAAGCCGCGAAAGCTTCTAAGTTTTCCTTGATCAGTCTTTATCAATTTTATACGGATTATCATATGATCCTCTTCAATTGTTAACATTCACTATATTTATATTCAATAAATGTGTAAACTTTTATATCATCAAGAACGAAAATGTGCATTGAAACGTCCTAGAGGTCTCTAATTGTGTTCCGTTGAATTCCAGCAAATATCTGCCTGGTTTGTAAACCACTTACGTTAAGAATTTCAAGAGATTTTTGTCGTGGTGTTTATCCGAATACTAGTAATGTCTAATTTAAAATGTGATGATTTGGAAAACAATAACGACAATTGAACAGCTAGGTGAAAGCCGTCACATTACATCGAGTACATCGGTATTCGGCCGCAAACCATCACTCGGCACCCACCCCACCCCCCATCAAATAATAAATACACTGAAGAATGATTATGCAAACCCTGTATCTTTTGCTAATTCCCGAGCTGAGCTCTGATTGGTTCGCTGATCCCTAGAGATTTTGGTGACGTCATATATTAGCATAGAACTACACCGAATAGACTACCCCAATTAGATATTAAATATCTATAAGTGTCTTCATAGTACGATGGTCTAAGAGGGTAGCTAAAGGTATGCTCTAGTGGGCGGCTACCCCCTCACTCCCTGGCCTTTTGGTTAAGACTAAGTTTTATGTTCACTCGGGATAGCGTGGAAG